GTCCCCGACGATAAATCGGGTCGGGCTGCGTCGGCCGACGCTGTCTGAGTTGGCCTTTACACTCAAAAATTGGCATATTACATTTATTTGTCACATAAATTATGACAGTGTGTACAAAGCTTTTGTTTTAGATGTATTCTCACATAATCGTGTCACAGTTCATGCATAGACCTACATTAACTGCCAATCACAGGATGGATATAATAATAATAATAATGTTATATTTATATAGCGCATATTGCACATTGCCCCTATGCGCTTTACAAAGAAATAATATAGGCCAACTGAGAAAATGCAAATAACAATAAAATATTAACAATAAAATAAAATAATAATAATCATAATAACAATAGTAACAATGAGACTAAACTACTCCTATTCCTTAAACTAATTAATGGTTGGCTGTTGACTCTGAGGAGCTCATCTGCCCTTTGTTCAGCTATTGGTTTTTCTTGCTGCTGGGTGACCATAAACACCCTCCCCTCAGCAGCCACTAAGACATATCTGAGAGGGTTTAGTCGCTGACGCTTCAACCATATGGAGTTTAATGTCGTACCCAGGACCTCCCTAACTACCTTAAGCTAGGCTTAAATACTCCTAAAAACAGTATATTACTCTTAACTACATATATGGATGTTTGCATTTTGATGGACCATAGAGGGATGAATTTTGGTTCATATCAATTTATTTGACTAGACTTTAATCATCATTGATGTAATTTTTGTCAACAGATTGCTCAGCTGCTCGTTGGGGACCAAACTGTCAGAACTTGTGTCCTACGTGCTACAATGGGGGAGTGTGTGATGATGTCACCGGATTATGTATTTGTCCTCCAGGATTCAATACAACTGACTGTAGTTTTGGTAAAACAAATGTTTTAGGATACAAACAAATATTATATTTACCTATTTTGATTTTAGTTGCATGCACCGAGTTTTCTATTTTCTCTAATGAATTATTAAGAATTAATAATAATAATAATTAATAATTATTCAGGAGGAGGAATCGATAGGATTAAAATTGTTTTAACAATTTATATTTACTGTACATTTATCAATTTTCTTGAATATTGTCTATTAACTATATTTATAAGAGGATGGAGAAGAGCCATACTAGTGGTGGCATGTTGAGAAGCTGATGGGAGAAGGTAAGGAGGGGGTAGGATTGCACATCCTCAGGGCCCGCCATGCTCAGGGCCCCCATTTTTTGCATATGCCAATGAGACATCTGTAGGCTTTCAACCAATAGTGATTAATACAGTATAATTTAGTTGGCAATTCTAACTTATTTATTTATTCAACATAGAGAGCAAGACCAATCTTCAAGAACAAGAAGCAACTGGGTCACACACGAGTGACCCCGTCTAAATCCAAAGGGAACACTTTGTCTGGTCCCAAAGGTGTCCCCATAATAGGGGTTTTACTGTATTTGCAAAAAAAAAATTGTCAATCTTACTATTATTCTTAATGTATTATAAAATAATTTTTATTATATTTTTCAATAGTTATGAATGGCTGAACCTATTTATTTCTTACTGTTTATTAACAGGATGTGGAAACAACAACTGGGGAAGAAAGTGCTTAATTGTTTGTAGCATTAACCATCCTGGTTGTCGTGGTAATTTGGCATGTGTTCCAGATCCGTTAGGATGTTCTTGTATGGCTGGCTATGGTAGTCTTAACTGCAAACAAAGTAAGCAAAATTAAATAAATTAATTATTAGCAATGCAGGCATAACTTCCAGTATTTATTAAATGTCTAAATTATGTGTTTTTTCATAACCTGGAGTCATATTTTTTTTTTGGATTCATGTTGTCTTTTGTGTTTTTTTTTTTTTTTTTTTTTTTGAGTTTTGGTCTTTCATTTTGATTGTGGCTTTTTGATTATTTTTGTCCTTTTGTAAATAGAGTTGGCTCATCACCGGCTGTTTTTTGTTGTTGAATATCCTCTATTAATTTCTGTGGTATTTTTTGTTATGAATAGGAATAATTTTAAATTGATAAAATAGATTGATTAGAAAGCAATTTCATCATTAGTCTTACAGTAACCTACTAATATTTTAATCACTTTACTATTACCTTAGTATATTATTAATATTTAAAACAATTTCATTGTAATAGTTACAGGATATATCCTATCTGCCATCTAAACAAGGCAAGGCAAGGCTGCTAATACTACCTGTAAGGGAAAATATTTGCACAGTTTGTCTGCTTAAAGCAGGGGTCCCAAATCTACCTGAAATTATAAAAGCCTCTCGCAAGCATGAGTTTCCTCCTGCAAACCCATCTCTTCCAATTTCATAATACTTGCATGTTTTTACTATTATATTCTCAATTGTCTCTCAGAAATCAGTGCTCATTTAAACAAATCTCCTGGAAGTGACTTCTTTCAACTTGGAACCCTTGTCTTAAAGGTATAAACCTTGACACGAACTGGGTATTTTGATGCTGTGCAAAGAAATACAACTGTTTGATACATCAACTCTAAAATATGAAAAATTTTCACCCTAAACCCCGCCCCTACCAATGGTGGCAAATATAGCCCCACTAAAGTGGGGTAAAATACTAAAAGGATCCCAGTCAATCTACATATATTTGCCCCAACTATTAAATTCAAAGTAAAAATTAATGAAAAGAATATCACACAGGGGCCTTACCCTTCTCCATGTGCACTTACAGTCATGTTAAATAACTGAATAATTATCCTCCACCATTTTTTCATTAGTGTGAAATATAATGATGGCAAGAATATCACATAATTAATGTCAAACTGCAAAGTAATGAGATATACAATCAGGAACTGTTATTGGTTTATAGCATGTGACGGAATGGGGAAATATGGGTCAACATGCAGCGAGGAATGCCATTGTGCAAATGGTGTGACATGCGATGTAAGTATTGGATGTCCAGATGGACCATGTGCAGATGGATATTCCGGGAAAAACTGTCAAGGTTTGGCTTGTCCGTCTCCTTATTGTTTTCATTGTAGTGGAAACAAAAATATTATTTCTTTTTTTTGCATTTTGCAATTGTAATAGAATATATCTATTGTGGTGATTATTTGGGAGCGGTGCTTATCGAATAAAAGCTGGTATGGTGTGTGGCACTTATTCAAGATTAGCACATATTTGCGTGAGTCACTATTAGTCCAGTCAAAAATCACCTTAGCCATGGTTTAAGCTCCTACCTCAACGATACTCAAACTGTAGGTCCTTTATATATTGGAAAGATCATATCATGATTCAAAAAGTGGGATTTAAGGAAAAAAGCAAGTTTTATAACCAGATTTTAGCCGCTTGTCACCTCGAGAAGTGACGTCACGAGGCTAAAATAACGATATGCCATCTTGCGTCTCTACAAAACTTACTAGATAAATGATATGTTCGCTAATAATTACCAATATCACAATGCATTTTGATACAGTATAAATACATAAATATTACGATGTACAGTATTTTGAAACATGCAAATCTCAGAAAAAAAGAAAAACAAAACCATAAATACGTGTGAGTTTAATAAATAATAAATGTGGCCTTCTTTATAAAGTAAACTACGCCCTCAAACGGACCAATATATTTTAACAAGCGAAGCGACGGTACCCAAGCGACGCGGTATAAAAGTTTGTACATGAGGTATAAAAATAAGTTTATACAGTATAACGTCGGGTACCGACTACCATAATTTATCACACTTATGGACCTAGCATTTAGCCTATGACTTCAGCTTCCCATTTTATTTACAAGCTAGATTAAAATCAGCGAAACCTATAAAAAGTTTCTATAGGACTAGATAAACTACTATTGTCCAATCCCTGATTTCCATTTGGCTTGAAGTGAGTGGAAGCTATGCTTTTTTGGGGGTTTTTTTCATCATAAATATCCAACCCATGGTCGTTCTTATCGATGTTAATCACGTTTAACGTATTGCCTTTGTATTAGAACATAAGTACAGTGTAATATGTAGATGGTTATAATCCTTTTAATCATCTGTTGTCACATTCTCATCCTTTGCGCTAATAATGTCTTCAATTTGGCCCCAGACCTACGTCACCAGCACCCACACAAACACATACACCTGTCTCTTATACACATCTAGATGTGTATAAGAGACAGTTATTCAGGAGGAGGAATCGATAAGGTTTGCATTTCAATACATCTATAGGCCTTCACTATGAACTTGGTCTCTTCTCATCGCTGCGTATCTTGCCTAAATATGATGGTACGAAAATAGACAGAACGATTACGAAATTTTATCATGGGCCTGGACTCATAAATATATAGGTCTGGAAATAAATAGATGGGTCAAGTCCAGAACAAATTACTTTTCCATCATGATCTTTGGTTACATTGTTCCTTTACAAACATACTTGTGTGATTAACAATAAAGTATTGTGAAAACTAAGAAAAAGTGACCCGTCAATTTTCCTGTCCCGTTTGTTGGAAATTTCAGAGCTGTTACTATCTCGTACCTGTAATTTAAGCAACTCATGTTTTGCAATTAAGACAAAATATTAAGTGCTACGGAAATATTGTATACGGATATTTCAAGAATTGGTTACTGAACTGCATTTTTCTATACTAACTTGAGATGTGGGAATAGGAAACAAAGACTGTGTCAGTATCTTTAATTTCTTATTGCTGTTTTGCATGACTTATACTGTATCAAGAGTCATTGTGACACTGATAATAATTAATGAACGTATCATTTAGCTAATAGGTTTTGTAGCAACGAAAATGGCGTATCGTTATTTAGCCTGGTGATGTCACTTCCCGAGGTAAACAAATGACGATGGCAAGTGGCTAAAATCTGGTTAGAAAACTTGCTTTTTTTCCTTAAATCCCACTTTCTGTATGAAACAACATCAAGATATGATCCTTCCAATATAAAGGACCTATGGTTTGAGTTTCATTGAGGTAGGGGCTTATACCATGGTTAAGGTGATTTTTGACTGGACTATATGGAACATTTATGGTAGACCTCTACCAGACAATATCCCCCAATTAATTGAGACTTACTGAATTATAAATTATTGTATATAATGTAATGTAATGTAGTTTGATTATGTAACACTTTACACCGAAACAGTCTCAAAATGCTCAAAGTATTGACAAGCTCTTACAGTACCTTGCTTCTCCCCTAAGAGCTACCCGGCGGTAAATCGGTACCAGCTACTCTTGTCTGATCACAGCAGGGGCTGAATGGACCAGTACACCGGGGTAACCCCCCCTACTTGTCTCAAAAGATGTACTGGGTTCTTTAAAGTGCACATGAGCCAAATTACTGTATGTACACTGGGTCTAGGGTTATAGTCCTGTGACGAGATACGATACGATTACGATACTCCTTTATTGTCATTTCAACATGGTTAAAATGATGTTCAACAACATTGTTAAAATAATATTTGTGTTGATTGATCCAATAGGCAAAAACATTTACGTTCAATTTTTTTACATTATTTTTTCTAAGTTTGTTATTTGTTTCTATAATTTGTGATGCTTTATTTCTAGAATAGTTTTAGAATGTTTCCTTTATAATTTAGTTCCTGACACATGTCCTGATGGAAGGTATGGGGAACTGTGTAAGTACTACTGTCATTGTGAAGATGATGGGCCATGTAGTAGAACCACTGGAAGTTGTGGAGAAGGGAAATGCAGACAATTGTGGATAGGGAGTGATTGTCAACTTGGTAAGCAGTTTAGTATTATAATAATTATGTTATTGTTGGCTGTCCCCAACCAGCACCCTCAATGTCATTATCATCAACTAACAACCACTTTATATTCAAACCTTGAGATTTCTATATGAGGGTTTTGATAATTATGTAATAAACATTTTTTGTATTCCATTTTTTGTAGATGGAAGAACTAATATCAATTTAATAATATCAGAGAGTAACGTAGGAGCTCCAGCTTCTACCACATGCATTGTTCAAGCCAACCCAATACCTAATGATGAAGACATCCAGGTACTGAAAAATAACAATACTCTCCATGAGGTTAGCGTGTTCACTGTAACACAGTTCAACTGCACTAGGACCGTCGTGTACAGATTTGTGAATGTTGCCAAAGGTGATGTCTTCAAATGTCAAGTTTCTTCAAGTGTTGCTGGTAATGCACATGTAGAAAAAAATGTCACAGTTTATGGTAAGTTTTCATATAAAATTATTATACATATAATTTTAAGCCATTCTATACTATAATTTCATGAACCCTATAATTGATTTTATTATCCTGACTGTGGCTCTAGGCTGCCTCATGACTCAGACAACCCCTTGGCAGACTTTTTTGACCCCCTAGAAATTTTTAAAGCCATTACTGAGTGTATCCTAGTCATACAGCTAATCGATTTTCAGCCAAATTATTATTATTATTATTATTATTATTATTCTCATTCAGTCTGAAGTCGTTCTCTAAAGTTTGCTTGATTGAGATCTTTTTCTATTTATCCTGATTTTGTTACTTTTCATCTAGCCTTGACCATGAGTGGCTTCTAGCCTTGTATTTGGCGATTTCCATTAAAAAATATTATTATTATTATTATTATTATTATTATTATTATTATTATTATGTTACTAAAGCCTACCTTAACGGGAGACAACTGAGAAATTTAGGGAACAATTAAAAAAAACGATGTTAAGGGGAAAATAAATGACACAATGATATTCTCCCTACAGTATGTCCAACTTAGCGTATAACTAGTATTATTATTATTACTATTATTGTTGTTGTTACTATTATTATTATTATTATTATTATTGTTATTATTATTATTATTATTGTTGTTGTTGTTGTTGTTGTCGTTGTCGTTGTCGTTACTATGCAATTGTCTTCTAATTTGAAAATCCAATAGAGTACCAACTTGGTCTCCTAATTTATTTGGTAAATCAACAAAAGCTGTAATTAGAGTTATCTGTGGTTAGAATCCTGATTTTCAAGTTATGAATTATATCTTTTTAGATCCTCCAGCATTGACTACGGCACCTCGGGTAGACGTATCCGACACTACTGTAACAGTAACATGGAAACAATGGACAGATAGTGTTGATGAAGGAGATGGTCCAGTAATTGGATACAAAGTCTGCTATGTAAGAATAGGAGGTGGGATGTGCATTGACCGTTTCCTGAATTTGACGGCCAGCTTTGTTATTGATATATTCCAACGAGGATTAAGTTATTATTTTGTAGTTAAAACAATTCGTCCTGGAAACCTAGGAGAGGGCACTAACAGCCCAGCGACCTTAGTCACAATCCCTTGTCTTAGTAAGTAATTCTTTGAAACTTTGAAATTGCATTAACAGATTTGCTGTTGCTCGTAACTTAAATCTTTCTGAAAATTAAAATTTCCAAATAAACAAATAATAATAAAAAAATTTTTGTAGTTGGTCACATAGATGTACTGTTTGTAGAATACCTTTTTTGTGTTTTAGCCCTTGTAATTTAATATAATAGTACTCTGTAAAGCCGACATAAGTTAGGAGGAGGAACAACATAATTTTGCACATGAAGTCAGCATAGAGGAAGCAAAAGAATGGTTAACCCGCAAGCCTATAAGAATGATTGAGAAGGGACTCACAAAACATCTTGGTTCTGATTTTGGCAACTTGAACTTTAAAGGAGTGTTCAAGTTGTAATTAATATTTTAGATGAATTTTATTTGATTCTACATGTAAGCCAACAGTAAAATTTCTTACCACTACAGTTTCGAACAACTTCGTTGATCTTTATACGATGAATGACCTAACCTCAGTTAGATCAGTTCGTCATCGGCCGATGTCATCCGATGACATGCACCCTCAGTTGGTTTTCGAGGTCTTCTCCACGGAGCCCCCTGTTTCCTGGGTTGGTGTAAGGTCATCATAAATATGTGACAGCTCGTAGGCTCCTTTATCTCTATTCATGTTGTTACTTTTCCTTCTGATCCATATTGCTTCTTTGTCTGCTTTATGTTCGGCCAGTCTGGTATGTAGAGGTCTTCCAGTTCTCCCACACATACGGCATCGCAATTGCTGCAGGCCACCTGGTTGACGCCACTCACTGGGATGGGATAACTAGCCCTATTTTTTTATTTTTTGGTCCGACTGCCTGACGAGCTTTGGCCAATGATGGGGGGGAGGGGCTTGACCAGACCGATGGGGCTTGACCAGACTGATGGGCTTGACCAGACCCCCCTGCTGGCGCCGCCACTGGACCTATCCATCAAGGTCCGAACCACACTTAATTTGTGTTGTAGTGAAATTCAGGTATTGGTTTGTGTGAGTAATTTTCCTGCACACTGATTTTGTAATTTTACCTTGTTCATGCCCAGTAATGAGCGTGGCATGCACTGTAATGAAGTTTGGTCATTTGCCTGATGAAGATCAATGAAGTTGTCCGAAGCCGTAGTGGTAAGAAATTTTACTGTTGGCTTTATATCAAAGAAATTTCATCTAAAATATATATCAGAAGCCAAATGAAATTATTTGAACATTTGTAATTAATATTTGCTTCATCAGGTAGCATATCATTGACATGTTGATCAGGATCATTAACTTTGGTAAATTAACTCTTACTGAGGCCATCCCTTTTTACAGAGGGGTAATGAAATGTGGTCATCTAGTCTACAGGCATGGTTAGAAAATTCTTGCTCTATGCTGACTTGTACGAAATTATGTACTTAGCTTGGAAAATTGAATAAACTTATTATTAAACAAGTACCAGTGGATGGATATGTTTTGTTAAATACACAATATATTTACAGATAATTGTATATATATGATATATGAAATTTTCTTTTCAATTGAATATTTATACATTTTGCTGTATTTAAAGTGTTAACTTTCATGGTAATATTCATGAATTCTTTTTAGAGCAGAAACCTTATAATGATTTTTGTAACTGAATATCGTAAATTTAATTGTTTAAAAGACATTTCATGGTATTATGAATTTTAAGTACACTTAATTTATTTGTTTATTTATTCTGCCTTTAACGTGCACTAGTGTTAGCTACATTGACTTTCTTAAGGTTCCTAACACTTTCAGTGATGTAGCTACTGTATGATCTCACTAGTGCCACGCTTCCCAAACTATGGGTCGCCAAACTTTTGCGTTGGGTCACGAACAGTTTTGCAAAAATAAACCAATTCAATTTATGTGCTCATTTTCAGACAGTTGATGTGAAGTTTAACAGGTCTGACAATTTAAAAAGAGTATTTTTAGGTGAATCTTCATTAGAACAACATTTTATTATATGCCCACAATGATTACTCTGAAATTTATATGACTATTATTTTTCTGTTGCTGTTAACCACAACTTAATTTGTGTAAATTTAAGCTTTCAACTGTTTATAAACAATTTATAGAAATATACTTAAAACAGAAAATTACTGTCACTGTCTAAAAATAAAAATATCCAAATGAATTTCAAATGTAGGCCTACAGTAAACCATTGCAAATGCAAAGAATAGGCCTAATATAACAAAAAGCACCTGTCATGCACTTTGGTTGGTAAGATTATACAGTAGTCAGTTGTGTATCCAGGAAGGGTGCTTGGGGGTGCAGGAGCACCCTCCCTCAGAGGTTGAAAAAAGTTCCCCTTTTTAAATGTTACATAAAAGCTGACATACATTTTTTTGTATTAAAGTGCCATTTTCCAGCATATAAAAGTCTCAAATTCTTAAATATGGCGGGCTTAGGTGGATGGTAGTTTTCATAAACTTTAAGTATCCAAGTGCTCAAATCTCACATTTTTTTAATTTACTCATCTGTGCCACAAAACCATGGTGGGTTTCAGGTGGATATCGTAAATTTTGTACTATTCAAGTACTATTTCCAAGTATCTATAAGTTTCAAATCCTTAAAATTTTCTCACCTGACCCCCAACCACAGTAAGTTTCAGGTGCATATTGTATTTTTTTGGAATTTAAGTGCCATTTTCGAGCACCTTTTTAATTAATTCGGTTTATTTTTTACTCATTTTGTCAAACATAAAAAGAATTACACGATAATTTGAAGTCCCATTTCCGGGCATCCAAATGTACAAAATACTGAAAATTTTTACATGTCACTGCCAACCACGGTAGCACTGATGCTGTCTCTTATACACATCTAGATGTGTATAAGAGACAGAGATAAGAAAAGTTCATATTATTGTAAATCAGGCCTCGCTACATATGTATGTCTATATAAATATATTTGTTTTTATACCGCATATGTTTATTCTAGGCAATGATTGGTTAAGAAGCAGGCAATAACTTCAATTATTACTTCTATCACGTAGGTTTGAATGATAGTTCACTTTTTCCCAGGGGAAAAGTATCACCCTGAATGATAGTACTTTCTTGCCCTGTTTTGATGTATAAACTCTAGGCCGCCACCTATAATGTTACTATGTAATTTATGACACACACAGATAGTAAAGGGGGATGAGACCTCTACGACGCTTGGCCCTTTGATTGCCTAGCCCTGGAAAGTAAGCCTTGGCCAACTTTGGTGTGTACTCTTTTCGTAACTTTTTAGGTCTCTATGTATGAGGTATATAAAACAAATATTAACTGCTCTAGATTCGAGGAACGGAATGAGCATGAGCAGTCAATATTTGTATATAATATATTATAAATTTGACCTACAGTGCATATGTATATCTGTAGAAATATATTGGTTTTTTGTTTATTCATAGCTAAATGATACTGAGCATTGGAGATGTAATTCACTGGATAGTTATATAGTGGAATACAAAAAGTCCGAGAGTGCAAGTTTCCTACAAATACAAACTGCAACAAATACAACATCAGTGACAATTTCTAACCTAGAACCTTGTACCAGCTACCAAATTAAAGTTAAAGCTACAAATTCTGGAGGGCTTGGACCAAGTTCGGAGATAGTCCCTGTTGCAACAGATGTACAAGGCAAGACTAACTATTTATTGATATGCCAATAGATTAATATTGTAAAGATATTTTAGACTTGACAACTAGTTAACCTAGTTTTGAATGGGTCCTTATATTTGTAATCCACATAAGGCGCGATCTACAGATTATCCCCAACGACAGAAAAGCGTCTGGGAAAACCATGTATTACAAACGCGTCTGGGAAAGCGATCGTCTAATTATCGTGCCTCATGAATATTAATAAGCTAGTTGGAATATGTCCCAGACGCGTCTAAACGGGTTTGTGCTGTTGAACGCGTTTGCCATTGTTTATATTGTTTTGGGTGACAAACACGTCTGTGTCGTTAGACCAGGCCCCGGTTGAACTACCGTTTTGTACAATTTAAAATACTGAACAAGTTTTACTTTGAATTGAACCAAGTTCAAAGTTTAAAGGCTGCATAGTCCTAATAGTTAAATTAAGTGGTAAATGACGATAATGGCAGCACATGCGTGTAGGCCTAATTGCCGTTTGCTCTGCCGGAAAGACCTATCTTCGTTAAATAGCAACCTACAGCTAAGAAGCTGACGACGAACGAAAAAAACATTTTTCAACTCACTGCACATATCACATGGGAACACAAATGGACGCCAGTATTCGCCAAACATCATTCAATAAACTATAGAGAAAATAAAACATCTATTTTCTCTATTATTAAACGTAGGCATCAATATATATTATATACAGCATCTAGGCCTATGCAACTACTGTACAATCAATATTGCGTACCTCGTGTGTGTGGATGTGATCAGTCCAACAGAGTACGCAACATCACGTGACAAATGTCACTGACTATGTGGCTGGTGTTGATCTATACATGGAGGAAAACACTTTCCTCCTTGGTCTACAGAAATTCGCTTTGAGCGCCGCTCTGACAGAATTGGGTCAATTGAGATGCTAACAATAGGACGTTCGATGGAGTGCCTGGATGCCAGTTAAAAGTATGGCCTTGTCTGCTTGCCGGGCAGCGAATTCTGTATAGTTTATTTTTTTTTAATCTTGCATAAATCTTGTTTTGTTTTTTATATATTTTTATAAGTTAGGCCTACTGTTATTTATGTGTGGAAGCTGTTTATTGGCTTATGTTAAATAAAAATAATATTGAGTGTTAAAGGCCTATGTTAATGTCAAAATATAAATAAAACATACAAGTGAATGTTCGTGTACCGTTGTATATCATTAATAGGCCTAATTAGGTGCTAATTCTTAACTGACCCAAACAAACATGTAGTGTACAGAAAACGGTATTCAATTCTTATATTCGGACATTTATTTATCCATCGACAAAAAATACTAATATATGCTGTATACACATGCTACAGGCCGCTTTAAATATATGAGTCTAGGATTCGGGGCTAGATTCTGATAGAGAAAAGTTAAAATATGATAGTAAAAACTATCCCCCGCCGGACACCATCCCGATATATAAGTTAAGTTGAAGGAAATGAAATGAATATATACACTGTTTTAATATTTGCCCCGTGATTTTATTTAAGTTAGGCCCATTAAATACAAGCATTGCATACAATTTATAGTGTTCATGGATAAAAATGATACACGAGGCCTACCCTATTCTTCCTCTAGATACATTTGGCTACATCAGAAAATACGATACGCATGGGGCGATACAAAAATCTTTATTGAATATAATAGTGAATATATATTAACATGGTAGGTGTTGATGCATTCACTATAGCCCCCCTCCCTCTGTTATGCTGTTATGGTTGATAATTATTTAGAAAAACAAACTGGCTTTTCTGCCGAAACGATGGGGGGGGGGGGGGTTTCAACACTGAAACAATTCCAGAAAGTTTGAGCGACGCCCGACCATGCCCACTTACGCTTTCGTTGCCGATCCTGTTGGAGACATCGTATCCCCGTCTGCCAAATCCTGCCGCTACCGGTCCCGTTCAGAAATAAAATCAATTCACTTTGATTTGTATCGATATTCCTCTTATTCTTATTCATGAACGGAAATAAACTGTTTGAAATAGGCATATACCAACAGTTTGCATTACTGCAAATTGCCTAGTAACAGTGAATTCAGTGAGAAACGTTCCCACACAAGTACAGTAGGTTCCCACGATCAGGAGAAGTATGAGAGAAGCAGACACAAGATCAATCACATACAATAGTCGTCTTCTCTTTAAACGCCGCCAACTCAGGAATGTAGACGCTCTAGTGTCTGATCTGATTCTTTGAACGCCGCCTTCAGGAATGTAAAACGCGCTGCTGCTCCGCAAGAAGGGAATAGCCGACTGCCTGTTCAGCAATATAAACATGTTATGGTTTAACCATTTTTAAAACATAATATATATAATAATACAAACATGTATTAAATTCATATAGCCTACACAGTAAAACAAACAATGCCGTAGCAAACATTGTTCTACGTGCGATATCACATGATCGCCACAACGAACTTCTTCAACTGCGGCTGATCCAGGTCAGTGTTTACATGCTGTATTGTGCGGGCTGTGCAGCACGTGGGAATTAGAAAGTTGGGCAAAAGGTACTTGTTTTGATAGGTCAATTCGAACATCGCACAATATGATCTGGGTAGGAAGGTTACTGGCGATTGCTTTCTCTTCTATAAAACCTACAGGTAACGGTAGGGCCTAGCCTACTAAAATACAAGAAACATTGGGGTTTCCCCAACAAGAAAAAAAATTAAATTTAGGCCTTTATTATAAACATTTCTTCGTAAACTGTCACCTAGCGTAGGCTAGCATTTTACTACCAGGCTACTACTACTATTATAAATATAGGCCTAGGCCTACATAGCCTATGTACGGTAGGGACACTGAACAAGTTTTGAAGTTGTTTAAATCACGATCAAATTCCAAATTTCGCTGAAGGCGTTTAACTTTTGCCATTCACGAGCAGTCATCCATATGAAAAGGGGAGGAGTTAACTTCCAAACGGAATAAACGGCTCCAACGACAAGCTTCCAAGCGGCATTTCACATGCGCGTTTGGGAGCTTGTCATATAACAATAGTAAACGTGTTTGACCCGTTTCTGTCGTTGGGGATAATTTGTAGATCACGCCTAATAAATCATGCCATTTTAACACTCATTCTTACTTCAATGAGTTGAAAACTTTGAATGGGCCTTTGTAAACATAGTAATTTAACTTATTCCTCTCATTTTCATGAATTAGTGCCATCAAATGTCACAGTATATGTATTTATGCATGTAAGTTTATGTTTAAATAACAATTTGTTGGCACATAGAAACAAAGGTTTTGTTTCCCACATTTCAGAACCTGGTGATATTGTCTTCAGTAATGGTGGCGTGATCTCTTCTCCTGATAACTTAAGTTTAAATTGGAATATACCCAGCAACCCAGAATGCATCACTTCATTTAATGTAGATTACACACTGATCAAATTGGATCAATGCAACACAAGTGTTGCTACAACTGAAAGCCAGCAATTCTCAGCTACTGCAACTGAAGGAGTTTTAAATAACCTGTTGAGTAATTCCCTCTATAGCTTGTCTCTGTATGCAGTATTTGGAGAGGAAACTACTGATCATTTTGTAATTGAAGCAAATACCTCATCATCAGGTAATGTATTATCTGTTACAAAACCATTAATTCTTAAATTTGAATACATTTTTAGGGTGGAGCTTAAGTTGGTATATACTGTATATTTTCACTAACAAATTGTTTTAAAATTTCAGGAATACATTGCTGATATTAAAATATCTGAAACCAGGTCATTAATATTGGCATAAATTTTAGAATTACACTTTTAGGAAAAAAAGAAATAGAAAAGATTTCCATTTTTTAGATGGATTTGTTAATACTAGACAATCGGAAGTTGTCGCATCTGCAATTATGCTTGCATTTTCTCTTGTTTGTATGTGGTAGGCCAGATGTGTATACCATTAATTTGCTCGAGCCACCAAGGTAGAGATCTGGGTGCTAGGGTGGTGGTGGACGATGTATTTTGCACTTTGTGAAATTGTAACATTATTATTATCATAATTATCATTATTATTATTAATAACTTTAAAGAGGGGAATCTTTCATACCCATCACATTATTCTTTTTTTCTTATCTCGCCTTCCAATGCCATGAATTCTCTTGATAAGATATTTCACTATATTCTACATTAATTGAATAAAAAGTATTTATTAATCCGATTCTGAACTGTTTACACTGAGCCATAATAAAGTGCGCTCTCTCAAGATTATTTTTTTACAGTGTGCTCCTTGCAGAGCGGTCTACAAATAAATCTAAAATTATATTTGTTTAATTGAAAAAATTAAGTGGAATATAAATATTGAAATTTATGATTAATTTTTTAGCTCAAAATGAACAAAGAAGATTCACTTTTTATATTTTTTAAAAATGTTTATATTCCAGAGCCAACTGGGAAACCATTAGCTGTTTCGAATCAGGTTCCTCAACAAACTGAATTATCCTTCACATGGCAACCTCCGGAATGCGGAAAGCGCAATGGACCCATAACAAAGTACAAGTCAAGGCTCGAAAACACTCCTACTGAGACTAAACAAGTGACAACGGAATTGTCTGTTACATTCTCCTCATTGCTACCATGTACTGAATATACTTTTCAAGTGAGAGCTGTAAGTGGACAGTTGCTTGGCCCTTGGAGTGATGCACTGCGTGTACAAACAGCTTCACAAGGTATGCTTTTAGCTTTCTAGTCCAAAGTGATCCATGCAATGTGCATGATGTAAAACATTTTCCACAAAATGTACCATATCTATAAATCTATAGGGTAGTGAGTGGTATGGCCAAAAGGTTAAATATGTTCCTCATGCTTCTTGCATTGAAGACCCTGGTTGTACTTTGGCTGCTGTGGGTATCCAGGGGGCTCAGCCAAACTTTTCAATTTTAAATATGTGGAATTGAATAAAAAAGGAAAATTTTAATTAAATTTTTAATTAGGGTACTGTATTTCACTCCTATTACTGTTTATTGGTGGTATATAACAGTGAGCGTATATTGATGAAGTCTACATATTATATTGTTATTTTTGTATCCTGTCCTTCGTATTAACTGTGGAATGATCTGTTTTATTCCAAACCTTGTTAAGCATTTAACTATGTTATATTCATTTAATGTTGGTTTAAATACATATTTTTATACCAAAATATAAAGAAAACTGTGCATTTTAGGTCTGAAAATTTGGTTTTTATTGGATTTTTCTGTGTGAGTTGCTTTAGCTGTTTGCCATACTTCTTGCAGACTTCAGTAAATGCAAGTAAACCTTGTTTAATTGATTTATTTATTACTGTAAATATTCTATAAAACAGTGTCTACACTATGAAATTGTATGTGACAATTTGTGTGATGTGCCCATATATGGGCATGATGATGTCATATATTACACCAAAATATTGTCATTTATTTGTCGCCTTTAAATTAATAGTGTGGGCAAAGCTCTAGTTGTTTCACGGATATTTCTAACTTTTTTTTTTGTGTCACTTGGACTCAGAACCTGACATAGTCAAGAATGTTAGAATTACTGGAGGTAGCAGATCACTGCTGGTTACGTGGGAAGCTCCGGATATTCAAGGATGTGAGATTGACTTTTACAAGCTGGAATATCAACTGGAAAATCAAGGGATGTGTGGTGAAAATTTAGAGAGTGTTGAAGGAACACTGAATACAACCAGCACAAGCATTAAGATTCATAATCTAGAAGTGTTTTCACAATACTTGGTAAAAATCCATGCTGTTATTGGACAGGTGGGAGGCTCTCACAACTCGGAAGGACAGGAAACCACTTCAAGCGGCAACACAGATGAAGACGGTGGGTGAAAGGTTAACATATACCTTATTTTAAGAAACATTCAATAAGTGTGATCATAAAAAATATATATAAGATTAACTAGCTTATATAATGTGATTTATCATGGAAGCAGAGATTGATAATCGCGTCAATCAGTCAATCAATTCTTTATTTGTTATTTTGTAAATACGTTCAATAATAATAATAATAATAATTTTGGCTTATATAGCGCATTATGCTAAAGCCTCAATGCGCTTAACAGTAAAAATAAAATTCGAGAAAAAAAATTAAGAAAAATACAAGCTAAAAAGCAATGTGTACTACTTTACATTTTTAGACTAATGCTATATAATTATCTAACAGAACCTCTAGCAGGACCAGAGGACATACAGGCAATAATAAGTCAAGAAGCAACAAATGATATGCGAGGAAAAATTGAGATCAGCTTCGGTTCGGTTCCTTGTCGACAAAAAAGAGGCAATATTTTAAATTACATGGTACAAGTCATTGATGGAGATGGAAATTTAATTGGAAATACCATCACAGTTGGTATGTCACCTGCAACTATAACAGGTGGATTCCCTTGTGAATCTGTAACACCACAGGTGGCAGCATGCACATCAGCAGGATGTGGTGTATTTGCAAATGGTTCCAACATTATAATGAATCATGCAGGTAAGACAAGATGAGACAAAGTTACAATAATAATAAAAACTAGATTTAAATTTGTCACTGACAAATTAAGGGGTATACGCAGGATCCTAATGACCTGATGATCTGATAATTTTGGAATGATTGATCATGAAGGAGGCTGTTGGTATAAGAATCAAACATGGCATTTAGAAAGACATGGAAATTTTTTGATAGTGTCAGTATGTCAACAAAATTGCGCACACAAATTTGTAGGTTTGATGCGCACGTACAGCATGGTTTTGGTCCTAAAATGACAGAAAAAGAACTTTGAATATGGAGTCAGGAACCCATAATATGTAAAAAAAAAATGTTTAGCTTCAGTATGTACTGTGTATGTGAAAATGCATGCATGGCGCAAATTTGTGGAAAATTTTGAAATGCCCAAATGGCCTGAAACATGCTTTAATATTTAGTCAAAAGTGATTTTGAGAATCTTAAAGTGTTAACGCACATGTACGCGCACATCAGGATGCGTCAGCGGACAGTAATGGCACACAAAGTTGACCCTCGATACACCTAATTAGGCAATTTTCTCTAAAGAGTGTCACACCATGTGTGTGGTATGAAACTAAATACAGTAGTAATAAAATGTCTAATCAAAGCTACTGTTGGACCTCGCTTTTTATTTATTATATATATAT